GTTGCGTGTGGGGTATATCCCGTGTTGCGTGTGGGGTATATTGCCTTTCTGCTGTGTCAGAATCAGAAGTAGCAGTGTGTCGTCTCTGTGGTACCCCCCTCCCACCCCCACCCCCACATCATGTTTAATGATGTGCTGCGTCTGGCTTCACAGGGGTTGGGACTGTTTGCTGCCAAAGACATAGAGAAATACACCATGGTGATTGAGTACATCGGAAGTGTCATTCGGAACGAGGTGGCCAACAAGAAGGAGAAGATGTACGAAGCTCAGGTAAGCTTTTCCTTCAGCTCCTGCCTTCCGACCGAATACGTATGAGTCCCAGCAAGCCAGTGTGAGTCTGGTGTCTGACTGCATCCTCCCACAGAACCGTGGGGTGTACATGTTCCGAATTGACGGTGAGCGCGTTGTCGACGCCACCCTCCGAGGAGGTCCTGCCCGGTAAGGCTCCCATTTGCAGTCCTACAGCCTGAGTGCCGCCTCTCGAACCCTGAGCCACGGGCTTCTCACAGGTTTTTCTTCTTACAGGTACATCAATCATTCTTGTGCGCCGAACTGTGTGGCTGAGGTGGTCACGTTCGAGAGAGGCCAACGGATCATCATCAGCTCAAATCGGAAAATTCAGAAAGGAGAAGAGGTACAGTATTAGTGTATTACATGGTCATTCTCAGGTCCTGTCCGGTTTGGCTGGAGGTCACATAAAAAACTCCTGCTTCGTTTCAGCTCTGCTACGACTACAAGTTTGACCTTGAAGACGACCAGCACAAAATCCCTTGCCATTGCGGGGCAGTCAACTGTCGGAAGTGGATGAACTGAGACGAAGGAGAAAGCGGAACGGAAACTCGCAGAGGCGAGCCACGCTCCCCGTGGCGCTAACAGCCTCGTCCGATGGGAGCCGGAGCCCAGAAAACGCGTGGGGATGGCGCCCAGCCGAGGGCGGACGGGGAAAAAACAACAGCAACATCCAGCCATCCCGGAGTTTGCCGGACGAGCAAACGACAGTTTGAAAGCCTGAAAGGAATGGGACGGGGAGGGGCGGGGGGGAGGGGGGCCGAGGATTCACCAGCAGATGGGAAGAGAGCACAGTGCTGGACACCCGCCTTATTTGCTTTTAAGGGGCGGGCCCTTTAATTGAACAAGAGACAGATGAAACTAAATCAACGCAGACACAACTGAACGGGGAATGTATGGAAAATGACTTCCTTAATACTAAGGGACGATTTACTTGCACTAAAAAAAAAAAACAAAAAAACAAAAACAAAATACTTGATTCCATGAGTCAGTTTATTGTACTTTATTTTTTCCTGTTTTTGATTTCTGTAAAATAAGAGAAACATTTTTGTATTTATTACTGAATAAGTGAATGAAGCTATTTTTAAAATAATGACCATTGAGGGCCAAACTTGTGATGTGGCCCACAGACTGGATTCATCCTGTCAATCTGTAAAGAGTGTAAATATTTTGAAGCAACGGTATAAAGAAAATATAGTAATGATTGACCAAATGCTACCTTAACATCATGGCTGCAAGGCCTTTTTTTGTTTTTTGATTGTTTTGTTTTGCTTGTTTTTGAAAATTATTTAATAAGGATGTCACAATATCATTCTGAGAGTATATACAGTACTGTGTATATGTATTCTGTATAGAATGTGTAAAATTTCAATAATTTGCCCGTCTCTTCTATGTTGTCATCTAGAAAATAGTATCGCTTTATTGCTTTGTGTTTAAAAAGTATTCCAACCACTCGATATTTTTTGTTCGCTTTCCTTGCAACTTTTGATTTTGTGCTATGAATTTGCGACAGAGACATCAGAGAAGGTCCAGTTCAGGAGGCCAAGATCATCTTGACGTCCTTACTGCCAATCAGGTTTGACTTTACAGCTAGCGAGAACTGTGAAATCAGGTTTGCGAGGTGCCTGTGCGGAATGTACAAGATCTTTTTTTTTTTTAAAGAAACGACAGCAAACCGACAGCCGAATATATTCCATGCAAACTTTGTCCGGTGACTTTTCTGTATGGAGGAAGCGAGAGGCCTGCCTCCGGCGGCCTTGCGAGGCATCGTTCTGGAACGGAGGCCTTCTGTTCAGATGGGATTTGTTTACATTTCAAGAGAAGCAAAGTCTTGTTTACTGGTGGAGCTGCATTTTGAACCTGTTATGATTTTCATTTTTAAAAAATATTTTCTGAATTGGAAATGGCTTTGTTACTGACTTCACCAATCCGTTTCAAATGAAGGTCTCGTGCACACTTTCCATAGACTGTAAAACTTTCCATCTTATGACACGCTCTTGAACTTGTAATGTGTATATGGCATGATGTATTTTTTAACTTTCGCAAGAATTGTTTGTAAATATTTTTCTCGATAAATAGTTGTAATGAAATCACTTCTCTGATATTTTTTCCCTCTCTTGTACAGTATTCTGAACATCCGGACGGTTTTCGCCTCCTACTTTTTTTCTGTCGTGTATAGTAGTACCTAATGTTTAAAAATGAAGCCTTTTCGAAGTATACAGAGTGTTATGGGTTTTGGCGTTTGTGTAACCAGATTTAGCAGCATTTACAAAAAATAAAATATTTTACATCTTAAGGTTTGCACAGTAATTTTATGACGTTCCCTTAGGGTACTTTGCAGCGCATGGATTTTGGTTACAGGCTCAATAAGCTGCATCTGCTGGTTTTCGGTTAATTTTAGCTCTTACCGGGACCTGTAGATAATATCTGATCTGCAATCAGTCCAGTGCAATTCCTTTGGCCTGGCGGAACAGCCAACGCTGTACCCTTTTCAGTTTGAGGGCTCAGGGCTGTTTAATCTGCTAGACCCAATTAGTAGATTCCAGATCGACTTTGGTAAGAAGATGCATGAAGATGCCTCTGATTCATCGTAATCTGTGTAAAGAACATACATTCAGTACCTGCATTTCCTGCTTTAAAGCCTGTATTTTTATGGTTTCTCATCTGCCTGCAGACCATCCTGCCGATCAACATGAGCGCAGTGGATGAACACCAGGAGGAACCAGAGGGCAGAGCCAGAGGACAGTTAGATGCACCACGAGTAAACGTGCAAACGCTTGTTAGCCTAACTGCATGTCACTGGACTGCAGCAGGAAGCCGGAGGAAGATCATGTGACCTCCACAGAGGCAGGACTCGAACCCACGTAACCCTGCAGGTTTGGGGCAGCAGCGCCACCTCTACTGTGTTCAGCGACTGCATTTCCTGGATAGCTGACTCCTCCCCTTGTTCTGGAGCGTTCTCCAGCTTTCCACCCTCACCCACTTTCGGGAATCGGACGAGGGATCGGGCCGCGTCCTTGTCCGGTTCCGGCCCCTGACGCTCAGCCAGCGCTAATGGAGGTTGGACTCTGGAGAAATAATTTCTGGCAACCCACCCAACCCCCCACACAGTACCCCCAGGCTGGCAGGGAGCCACCCCCCCCCCCCCATGTGGGGAGGGTATATGAATCGTGCAGCCCCCACCCCACACTTGTCCACCAGAGCCCCTCCTCCTGACGGCCACTCATGGAGCTGTGGCGTGTCGCCGTGACAACGCAGCCGAGCAGCCAGATGCTTGGGGGGGGGGGGGAATGGGAAGGCTGTACAGCTCATGAGCTCCCCAGCCCCCAGGAACGTAGCCACCTTATCCGTTCCGGGCCTCATTGCGCCGTGAGGGCACGTCCCGTCTGTCCGCCAGCGACGACACGCCCTGCCTTGTAGATCGCGCTCCTGAATGCCAGCGTGCTCTTGTTTGCGCCGTCCGGCCTGCTGTGAAAATCATGGCCGTTTCGCTCACAGTAAATCCTCCTCTCTTTGTTCAGGAGGCCCTTTCGCAGGGTGATGCAATGCAGGCCGGCATTCAGACGGAGCGGAGTGTGAGTGGGAAGGTCTGGGAGCGCGGCGGCCCTGGAGAGTCGCCGGCGTCGCACGCGGCCCCCGCGGCCCCCGCGGCCCCCGCGGCCCCCGCCTCCAGCATCCACCTTTCCCGTAGCGAAGTCCCAGGGCAGCTGAGGTCACTCTGATCCTGGCTGCGATTCTCAGAAAAACAGTGTGGTGCTACAATGAGTGTAAATTCAGCCGAGCTTGGTAGAATTGCGGATTTTTCCGGAAATGTGTCCCAGACCTAATATTTCTCTTACTGGCAACGTGTTTGTTTTGTTAAAATGCTGCATTAGTAACCTCCGTAGATCCCGTTGAGAACCGCGGTAATTGGTCTTGCATTTTTTAGACACTTAAGACAGCAGGATGACGTTGGCACGAGTCTCATCAGCACACAGACGTGTCCTTTAATTTCTCAGAGTAATGGAAAGGCGGCATCGGTACCCCAACCCTCATGCAGCGCTTACGGAGAAATGGCAGTATTTTGGGCAACCTGAAAATACATGAAGCATGTTTTTCTGGGTTGGGGAGGGGCTGGTGCACCTCCTCTCTTGCAGTGTAGTCACACGGGCCTGATAAAGGCAGATGTAAAACCCCCATCCCCCCACCCCCCACGACAGCACGTATATCATCAATACGTTTCCTTTGTTATGCGTCAAATAACATTTTTTAACACACTGTACAGCAAAATGAATGGGATGCCAGTCCATCAGAGGACATATACCACAGAGGACCAAGAAGAAACCCACACAGAGCGAAAGCAGGATTCCAAACCCCAGAAGTGTGAAGCAACAATGTCACCCCATGAGCCACCATGCCGCTGGCAAACTTATCATACGACTCGGGGTAAATCCACCCTCCAGCCCCATGTTCCAGGCCGCTATCTGCCGGAGGCTGAGGGGGCGGCCGGCAGCCAAGCTGCCCCAGGCCAGAGAGGAACCCGAAAGCTCCCCCCCTCCGAACGCAGACCCGTGGAGCCATCCCGGGAAGCCGGTTCCATCATCCATCTTCTGCAGCTGCCTTCTCAGGTTCACGTAGACGGAGCCCAGAGTGCAGTTAAAGGAAAGACTCCAATCAATCATATTGGCAGGCGGCTCACGGGTGACGGATCGGCCCCCGCAAGCCCTGGACAAACCTGGGCCTTTTTGTTCACTGGTGCAATTATCAGAGGCCTGTTATCGTGGATATTAGGAGATGTTTAGTGTGTATCTCATACTCGCATCTATCACAGTACATAAGGATAACCATAAGTAAGCGATAATGGCACTGGAAACCTCAGGCCAACAGTTCATACAAATGCTGGTCAACAAACCATACATCTGTTTGTAATGATTTTTATTACTTCTGTCTGTCGCTTTACGAATCTCGACTGAAAAAAAAAAACAAGGTGTACTTTTTTGGTGGAAAAGTGCACACCAGGATTCACATATTTTCCATAACGCTTCTATATTTAACTGGCTACAAAATTAAGTCAATTAGTACTGACGAATATTGTGCCACGTAATATTGCAAAGCAGAAATTGCACACTGAAACGGTTGGGCTTTATGGGTTTGTTTTTGGCTGACCAGACATCGGAAGTGTTTCACCACAGTGCCCCCTGCTGGTGGTGTTCTGAAAAAATGCATTTTTGCTTTGTTGTGTTTGTCTTTAATGCCGTATAACGATATTAAATATAGAAATTGTCATAGGAATTACTTTTTTGCAGGACTGCGTGTAAAACAGAATATATATACCACCCAGCTCTGTATTTAAATCCTTAGAGCAATTTAAATTCTCTCACCTAATCGATGCACAATTTAACAAAATGGAGATTTTTTTTCCATGAAGTTCGTTCTGTGTTTATCTCGTTGTCAGACGACCACGTCTCCTCGGAAGAGCATCATTAACGCATTAACACCCCCACAGTATTACAGCCAGATCCCCGCGTTTTTTTTTATCTAAATTCACAGCTTTAGACACGAAACACCACGCAAACTGCAGGTAAAACGTGTTGGTAATACCGCCGCTTTCATGGCGGCGGATCAAAGGCCCCTCGGCCGGGGACTGCGCCCTGATGCCTGCCGGTAGCGCGGCGCCATTCCTGCCCCCCTCCCGCTCTCCTGGCGTTCCCATCTCCCCCATTTCCTTAACACCTCCAACCGTTTCCCTGCAAACTTAACGTGAGTATATGCGCTTGATGATCTTTACACCTTTTGCAGTTTTTTTTAAAGCATTTTCCCACTCTCAGCACGTTGACTACCACACGTTCTACCGTATTCGCAGCCTTTCGCGGTTCCAGCAAATTGCTTCTCACCCGGAGTGAGGGACACATGGCTAGCCTCAGAGGCTCTCTTACCCCAGAGTCACCTCACCCTGTCCAAGACGCCGACTGTGACCTGGCCTCTGTGTTCCGAAAACCCAGCAGCGCCTGTCTTGGACCGCCATCCGGCACTCCAGAGCTAATGCTCGCATCTGCTCTAATTTACATGCCCAGAGTTAGCGGATCCATAAAGCATCTACCTAAGACTATCAAAACTCATCGCTAATGGAGAGTACCTCGATTGTGTTTGATCTCCAAATTGGGAATGGGTTGTGATTCCAGTTTCCTTAGAAACGTTTAGGGTTTGATTGGTTTCTGTGAAGGACGAGATGGACAATTACAGAACGCATTACGGACCATGGGTTGTAATGCTTTATGTGGCAACAGTGAAGAGCATCGTCAGATAAAAAGGTTCTGAGACTTTCTGTGCACCATAATTAGAATTTAATCCTTCTTTTTCATGCCTCCGAACTGTGTGAGACTTTAAAATGATTTCCTCAAATTATATATGATTCACACCGTAAGGGGATATGAACTCTCCTGATGTTAAATGATTATATTATGCTCAAATTATTTTCCATCTTTGATGACCAGTATAGAGCATGTGAGATTATGACGGGCGTGATTCAAAGAGAAATGCAAGTCATCTGTCAGCAAGTGAAACGCATGAGTCACACATTCTGGAATCAGGGTCTGGAAAATCATTGGCTTTTCGACAAATTAGAGGCAAGGCATGCAAGGTTCCCTGGAGCGACGTCGGCAGGATTTTCTGATCTGACGTCCAATGAAATATCACGTTCACAGGAGTGAGGAAACAAGAAGCCAGAAAAGAGAGATGAGGAGGATTTCGTGTGTGTGAGACTTGCTCTGGGCGGGCTAGTGAACCGTAACGTGTGACGCAGGTGGATGTGAAGTGCAGAGATTTTATTTCGGGATGTGAGTGGAGTCGGGTTTAACAAAGAATGCGAGGGGGAACCAACAGCTGTGTTGGCAGTCAGATCGAGGGAAACAAAAACGGGCGTTGCATCACGGGAACACACTAGAATGGTGTGCGGGGCACAGGTGTGGGCATCTGGGCACGTTTTCTGTCCTTAGAGGAAAAAAGGCACATGCATGTATAGTATAGGGAATACGGTACAGGGGGAGTGAATTGAGGAGTTGGTCAAGTGACCTCATCCTCATGAGCCTGGTATCAGGCCTGGTTCTCAGTCATGAGGTTATGTTGGAGGGTGGATAGCTCACACCTCTTACTGATGGCAACCTCTTGAGGAGACATGACATGCCTGCAGCAGGCTAATAGCGAAACACATGACAGGCACCCCTTTTTCATAATTAACAAAACAGTCTTGGTATAATACTCCTATTGTTACTCATGGTGGAATAAGGTCAAAGCAGAGTGATATTGCACAGATGATAAATTCATGATTGCCATGGAAACCATGGCAGCTGGTGATGGGGTGCTATACTTGTGGGTTAGGATGCTGTACTTGTGATCAGAAGGTCGTTGGCTCAAATCTTGTGGTCGGCAGAGGGTTGTCACGTTAGGCCCTTGACCCCCAATCGCTCCAGGGACAGGCTGACGCTGCTTTCACAATCGTATGTCGCGTCGGATAAAAGCGTCTGCTGAAAAATAAATGCAGTAATGTAGCGGTGACCAACGTCTTGTCCCAAACTGATGTCACTTACTGATGAAAACGATGAGCTCAGTTGATACTGAAACCAAACCCTGAGGTCACTGTACCCCCACTCTGCTGGGACCCAGGCACACCCTGGGCTGGCACTTGGTCATCAAACCACTTGGTGATGGGCTCAAAGCCCCCGGGGACCTGGCTGGACACGCCGGCCCTGGAATCCTGCAGATCCACGTTAGGGATGAGGAATCGGGACACGGGGGACTGCTGAGCAGTGGAACAAGCGGTGCTGCTTCCATGGTGATGGAGCGAGCTCCACAACAACATTGCAATCTTCGTCATGTGATGCATTGAGGTAAACCATACAAAAATGACACAGAGGATTTTGGGAACAGAGCAGGCATTTCACAAAAGCCACAATTTAAACTGTCCTTTCTGAATTAATCATCTAGCTCATGGCTCTCTTTCCACTGATTATGAGCATTCAGCACATGGATAAGCATAGAGTTTCGACTCAGTGAAACCTAGATCTGGCCAGTGAAAGTTGGATGTAGGCAGGCTTCATGGAACATATTTTAATCAGAAACTGCAGGTGAGCCTTCTTGCTGTCCAAGTAATCACGTGAGGAAGACAATCAGCTGAGGTCTACCAAAAATGACCACTGGACGTGGTCTGTTCAAAGATCTCTTGTGTTCCAATAGAATTTCACCATCTGGAAGGGATCAGAACTGTGGAAGGATAACAGAAATCCAGCCAGAAGGTGTAACACATTTACAGTTCTATATGTTTTATGTGTCTGGAAGGCTGGAGAAGATATTAATTCTGAATAAACCTCTAATAAAGAAATCACACAAAGACCTGCGGAGCTTTGGTCGGTTACCAATGTACTGTGGAATTCATGGAAGTTCCTATAAAACCATGTAACCTGGTTACATACAGTGGAATGAGGGCAGTTTGTTTTGATGACATCATTGACCAGCGCCGGATGGACTGGTGGGCAATGGGGTGCTGGGCAGCTGGCCACTGTCTTCCCTGACCACGGTCGCGTGGGAGAGATCTCGTTCTGCCTGGGGACCCCAAAACACACTGTCCGTAGGGGAACCCCCCTTCCACAACCCTTGGATGACGTCAAACAAACTCTCAGCTCACTGCATGGCAGATCTCTGAAATTAATCTGCACCACAACAATCAGTCTGAGGTGACAGACCACCATCAAAGATAGATATAATGAGCCCTTCTGATATGTGAAACTAACCAGAATGAAGCAATCCCACTGTATTTACACCACTGCTCAATACCATTTCCTATATTTCACCAAGGATCTTTTAAAAATTCAGTAATCGCTGTAAGTGCACCAGTTGAAAAGATGTTTAGGTGTTTATTTCCAGTTGCCTGGCAGACATACATCCAGAGCATTTAAATATTAAATACTATTGAGTTTCACTCCTTCACTGCGTTCTTAGTCATTACGGCTACATCTGAGCGGCAGGGTGTAAAACGGCAGCGCATCACGGTATTCCTGTGCAAACAACCGGTGTGCAATTGATTAAAGAACCACAAGGTGGCAAAACGTGACAGTCCGCCGGTAAAATAGGCGATTTTTGCAACTGGATCTTTAAAAGCTTAGGTTTTGTAGTATATGTGGAAAAAGAAGCCGACAATCCACTTCAAATTAATTTGAAAACATGTCATTTGAGCAACCTTATTTACAGGTGTGGCGTTTTAATTTAAATTCTCCTAAAACTTAATTTTATGAAACTAAAGGCTTGCATTCTTTGCCTGATCCGGGCCGCCCACACCGTCAGAAAAAAAATAACAATTTGTACCTTTGAGGGTAGTCTGCCAATTGCAGTAGATAAATGTACCTTTTAAGCTACAGGTATGGACTCTAAGGAATGATTTTGTACCATTCGGGGTACATTAATATTGTTTGTACCCTGGGAAACAAATCTGCACCTCTTTTTCCAGACAGTGCACCAGAACCCTTACACAACATCTCCAAGTCCAGTCTCTTTGCATTATCATTATCATTATCATTACAATTACCACCACCTCCACCCCATTCCCCTCGCCTGATCTCGTACCCCTGATTTAAAGCCAGGAAGTAACTCCATCCGATGTGTTTATGTGCAGCGCAAAGGCAGCCATGTGACCGGACCTGTATTAGTTAAGACCTGCCCAAAAGTAAGTTGGTGCACTCGAGCAGCTCGACGCAGATCTGATCATGCCTGTGCACAATCCCTTCCCCGGCAGTTCGTTAGACCTGTTTTTTTCTTTCTTTTGGTAGCTCGCTTACTGCCACCAGCATGATGTTTTGAACTTCCTGGTTCTCGGAGATTTGCTGCGAGTTGCAGTTCGGTTAATGCTGGGAGGCGCACGGCGCTGTGCGGCGCTCCGGTACGAAGGTTTCGCTGGATGTCCGTCCGGGCATCGCGGGTGGTCCTGCGCTCGGTACCGGCGAAGGTGCACCCAGATGCGTCTCGTCTGACATTCAGTGCCCGGTCCGCCGCGTTTTTTTTATCTTATTGAGGGACGCGCTCCGGTGGGGGACACTGGGTCGCACTTTGCGCGTCTTTCTAAAAGCAGAGGTGTGACGGCTTGAAAATGGGAAGTACGGCGATGGACACCAAAAGGAAAGATGTCATGAAAAAGTGTTCAAGGAAAAAGAAAGCGCTTCATCTGAGCATGCCGGTGAGTGCGGGGGGACGCCGAATTGCCCGAGCGGTGCGCCATCCGAGCCGAAAGTAAGCGCTGTAGGCGTGGTCCTACCGCTACACGCTGCCGGAGGTGGCTCCACGGATCCCCTTTAACAGTGTATTTACCGTAGATTCAGCACAAAATTATATCTCAGAATGACGTTTCAGATCTATTAAATATAGGGGTTTTTCATGGGAAAGACCTCCAACTCCCCTATAATTAATAATAATAATAATAATAATAACAATAATAATATTGAGTCATCGCAGGCAACAAGTCAATCAGGAATATTGTGCTGACGGGTCGTTTTCCTAACCAGCCGTAAACGAAAGCGATATTCTTCCAGTTCAGTTTTCAGCATGGAGTGTCTCCTATATTAATAAGCATCGACGCGAAATGGGAACCGTCTATATTAACGAAATAATGCCGCGTTACGATTCACTGGCTCGTGCCGCTCTTCGTTACAGTCTGCGATTATCGGGCTTTGGCAAGGCGTCTGTCTGTAGCAACAGTGACATTTAAAAACCGAGAGCTTGTAAATACGTGCACAAAATCTGTGTGTGTGTGTGTGTGTGTGTGCGCGCGCGCGCGCCCTATTCCCAAGTATACGTTCTAGAGAAAAGCGCTGGAAGTAAAATGTCTGAAACCTAGTAGGCTACATATTTGTCTTGATAATGTTTCTTTTCGTTTACTACTATAGGTGGAGAGGTTACATTCAGGCTTTTTATTGTAAAGTAGTTGCATGCAGAAAGCACTGCATGTTCCAGGTTTACCTAGAACGGAAAGTTCGTGTCAGACATTTAACGAAGCTTTTTATGTTCTTCAAGCCCTGGATTTAGTCACATATTAATCTCTCATAAGAACGCACAGGACCTAGAGGCCAAGTGTACTTTTGAGGTGTTTGCGTGTTCGTCTCTTCATATAACTGTGTTGCAGATTATGAGCGTTTTATTTAATTTTTAAAGCTTCAAGGGGGAGAGCCAAAGTTTGCATTTTTTCAGTGAGAGTCCAGTATCATGTTTAGATTAGGCGGATGAATATGATAACATGGCCCACGCGTGAATATCTCAGCAGACTACACAGATGGCATTTGTCAAGGTCGCGTAAGCGCTTGAGACGTTCCGCCGTGGCTCTGGAGGCGTGTGGAGACAGAGGACTCTCGCCCATGTGTTTATCAGCGATTTCTCTGCGGGTTC